GCACAGATGTATAAAGAGACCTCAATACATTGTTGGAGGGCCCTGTTCATTCTTATGAAAGTTTTTCAGTGGTGTAGGAGGCCAAAAAAGTCTGACTTCCTGTGATCCAGATCTTCTGCATCATTAGGCCCATAGAGCAAGCGCACCATCCAACTAACTTCCGTCAGATGAGCCAGCTACTTCCAGTTTAGCCCTCACCTAACTCAAATGGGGATGTATGATTTAATTATGCAGCTCTTCTAGACTTTCTGAATTCAGACTGAATTTATAGTAGTACAACAAGTAATTTTTTGGGGCTTGTGACACTCAAAAAAATGTATCCAGTTATTAATAGATATCTTTTTCCCAGTGACAATTTATGGGGAAAATTTTTTTTGGGCTCAGTGGCATCACGTGCAGGACCTGAAAGTTGTAGTTACATTGTTTGACCACTATACTAAATTGGCAACAAAGTCTGGTGTACTTCTGGGGGACATGGATAACTGTAACAAAAAAAACACTTGAGTGGTCACTTATTCTCGTTCGTGAAGGACAACTGTTAGCAAAGCAAGGAAAAGAATTGTTGACATAAAAATAGAGACAGAGTTGCAAAACAGAAAAATTGTAAATATAAAAGTTCTCACATTCTGTTTGAAATAGTGGATGCTTAAAGCTTTAAGAAAAGTGTAATCTGTTTTTTTTTTTCCTGTCACAGGTATTGCATGCTGCATTATTTATTTATTCACACCAAATCCTGTCTTCATCAGGTGTAATGAAATCTGTTATTATGCACACGCTTATACAACTCCTGAGATAGTTTTAATTTCAAGAGGATTTCACTGATCTCATGTAAGCCTGTGCTTCTTCATGTCCGTATGTGGTCACCGTGGATACTCGGCACCGTTTGGTTGAAAAGGTTCATGAATAGTAAGCAGCTCGCTCAGATGTCCGCTAAACCCGTTTAAGACACTTAGTGCCAGATGCCTGACAGACACTGCCACTTCACCGACTGTAAATTCAAATGCCTACAGTATGTGCAGCTAATCAAGTGAGACAAACCTGGATTAAAAAGAATAACGGAGGTCTTTAATACTTAAGTAGACATCTGTGTCCTAAAAAAGTTTACTGCCGCAAGAAATTACATTAATGACATGTCAGTAGCAGATTATTCTCATAGTCTCTAATTGATATAAGGTGACACAAAAATGTGGCAAACAGTGATTTAACTTCACATTTGATTCGACTCTGAACCATCATATGAGACAGTTTTATACGAAGATTCAAATTACTCTGGTCTCCATGAGTACAAACATTTAGCTATGCCAGAAGTATTGCTCTGCAGCTGGAAATGTCAGTCTTGTCTGTCAGTCCACAACTTCCAGACTGATATTTTAATAACTGCTAGAGAAATTGCCACTGAGTTTTGTAAAGACATTCATGGCCTTGAGAGGGTGAATCCTAGTATATCTAGAGGAACCCTGACCTTTCCTGTTGTGGCACCAGCAGATCAAAGTTTTCACTTATCCAGTGGGATATCTCTTTATCTACAACTAGTCCATACCCATTGATAGCTTTGCCACCTTCTACCTATGCCAATCCTCAATGTCTATGTGCAGTTTCACATAGATTGACCACGTCAGTGAGTAGAAAAACATGGTCACAGACAAAATGACTGACTGACAGAATGACTGACTGTTAGTTTTCGTGATTATGCACAGCATACCATACCATGACTTAGTCATACCAAAAATTAGAAAAAACAAAACAAACAAAAAACATTCGTCCACAGGGGGAGCCACAGCGATCGGTCGTATTTTAACCATTTTTAAGCATTTTTCTGTTGTTATAGCGCCACCCAGTTGCCAATTAGAGTTAAATTCCTCCAGTCACCTTGAGGCGTCCTGTTCTACATATCTACTAGGTTTAGTAAAAATCGATATGGCAGTTAGGCCTAGATAAGAAATTAGCTCTCTAGCGCCCCCATTTTGTTTGATGGGGTCAATAATGGAGGGGTCCCCTCAGATTATGTGTGGTCATATGCCTACAAAGTTGCATAGTGATCAGTGAAACCCTTGAGATGTTATACACCTTTATGTGATGAGCCACGCCCTCCGCAATATTCATTGCCTTATAGAAGCTCAGTTTTAGTAAGCTTTCCAACTTTTGCCAAGAGGGAACTTTAGATATTGGTCCCTAGATTATGTTCACCGAGTTTCATGCAGATCGGTCAGACTTCCTAGGAGGAGATCGATTTGAAGTGTTTTTCAATAAATTCAAAATGGCGTAAAATCTATATAACCGGAAGTTATGGGTTCTTGAGGTAAATTTGTTCCTCATGAGGAGAGGCATCTCTGTGCAAAGTTTCATGTCTGTACGACATACGGGGCATGAGATATGCCCATTCAAAGTTTGCAATTTCAGTCGGTTGCTATAGCGCCCCCCTTTGGTCAATTGATGTAATATTGCTTCATTTGCATCCTCCCATGACCCTCTACCACTGTGCCAAATTTCACTTGGATTGACCAAGTCAGTGAGGAGAAAAACGTGGAACAGACACACAGACACACACACACACAGATTTTTTGTCATTATATAGTAAAGATATGGATTGGCACATTATTTTGTACAGACATTTATGTTTCCCAGATAATAAATCCTGTAAGTTACACCTCATCAGGTTGTACCAAATCCTAGAACTTAGCTGCTATCGGTCTGATGATAATTTAGCCTCTGGGTGCAACGGTCAGTATTTTGGGGTTTCTGGTGTAGCAAGCATATATCCACATAACTGATATTCCAGCTAAGACTTCCTCTTCCATGGGCTGGTTACTGTTCAGTAATCTCTATAAACATACATATGCATTTGATTGCAGGTAATTTTTCAAAAAGCAATTAAAGCACAAAAAAATGATTGATTTATGTTATTTGGACTCAAGACTGACTACAAATGGAAACCAGAATGTTTCCGATATCAAAGTCTTAATGCATGGCCTACAGATTTTGTATTCCTATACATATTTCTGTTTATAAAGATTTGGTTTTACCTGCTAAACATTAAGTCAATTCATGCAAGACCTAAGGTGGAAGTAAGTCACACATGCAAATCATAAGCAAGTCTCATGTCTTAACCTTCAAGTCTCAAGCAAGACCCATGTCATTGTGGTGAAAATCAAGCAAGCCGAGTCCTTGCTATAAGTCAAGCAAGTCGAGTCAAGTCATTGGTCAGGTCAAGCAAGTCACAAGTCAAGTCATACTCACAAACTCATAAAGATAATAAAACATAAACTGCACCCAATGGTGGGATGTAACTACACACATTTACTCAGGTACTGTAAGTACAAATTTAAGTCTCTTCTTGCACTTGAAACATATGAAAGTTGTAGCGTGGGCACGGATATCAGTCGGCAGGTCCTCCGCTGCTGCAATATGTGCGTCATCATATTTTAAAAACAAAACTTTTCAACATCCAGAAAAACATACATATGAAATTAAAAACAGTCAGACTTTCAAGTCATCTGTCTCAAGTCAAAGTCAAGTGTCGAAGTCATGAATATCAAGTCGAAGTCAAGTTTAATCCATCATCAGTGTTAGTCAAGCAAGTCTCAAGTCCTCAAATTTGCAACTTGATTCGGACTTGAGTCAGGTTATGTGACTTGAGTCCCCCACCTCTGTGCAAGACTTATGACAATCCCAACAGGCTCAGCTCTGTGTATAATGCCTGTTAGCGAATGTTAGCATGCTAACACACCAAAGTACGATGGTAAACATTGTACCTGCTTAACATCAGCATTGTAGCACTGTCATTGTTAGCATGTTAGCATGCTGATGGGACATTTAGTTCAGAACACCACTGTGCCTAAGCCTCAAAATGCTGCTCCACACAATAAAAAATAATGTTACTGATGATTATAATGATGGGGAATGGATAGTTGAAAAAAAAACAACAAAAAAAACAGCCAAATCCATTAGTTACTAAGCATTTTAAGCTGACTAAGCTTGTCTAAGATATCATTAAATTATTTTCCCCACATCTACTGCTTGCATGGTATTTGTCCAACAACCTTCTCTGGCATTTTAAATAGACCTCACATTCTAGGCTTCATTTTTTTCCCTTAATTAAAGTGACCCTTAAAGCTATAGTGCGTAACTTCTGTCGCCTCCCAGGGATAATGCGTTATTACAACTAATAAGCCGCAGCACTTCCATGTACACAGAGTAACACTCGCCAGTCGCCACACACCGTACACAGAGTAACACTTGCCTTTGTGGTAGGATCCACTTCTGAACCGTGTCTCGGCCACTTCTTTGGGTTCTCCGCCATGTTGCTTTCTCTTTCTACCTGCGCTCTACCTCTTGCTATGAGACTCTCTGCTCTTCCTCCCCCTCCCTTCTTGTTGTGAGGAAGCATTTCCTGTGCGCCAACGTGGAAATGTCGCCGGTCTACACGCAAACTAAAAATGATATATATTGAAATTATCGCGAGATGTTAGAGGAGCCGATCGGCTTAATCTGCATTGTGTCATCTCCTCTAGTAGTGGCTTGGGTGAAACGGACATTTACGGACCTGTAGAAGTTACGCACTATAGCTTTAATAAATGTAGCATGCCACTGAGTTGATAAGAAACTTAAGGTAATATTATACATATTGTGGGATATGTACAGTGGGAATATACAGTAATTCAATTAAGTAATTCTGGAATTTTTATTCAGTGGTGTACAATAGTTGTTGTAGGGATTCCCTTCAGCACACACCAAGCAGCACCTATATTTATCTGTGATCCATGCAAAGCCTGTGAGGCTTTACAGCTTTGTGTGCCTCAGTGATAAGACAAATCAAAAAACCTACATCTTAGAAAAGGAAAAACAAAATCAGAGTGTACCAGAAGACAGGGAGTGGCAGAGCAAACAAAAGGCATTCCTGTGTTTTCCCCCCTAACCCTGAACTCCCCTTTATTTATTTATTTATTTATTTTTTTATTCCTCTCCATTATTATAAATTTTTTTCCCCTCCATCTACCCAGCCTTCAGCTCGGCCATCCATTCTCTGGACGGGGCGACGCAGCGGAGCGACTTTGTCTCCATCCTCAGGGAGTTTGGGAATCACTATGTGCAGGAGGCGGTGTACGGCTTCCAGGAGTCCTGTACCATCTGGTACCCCAACAAACAGGTCCAGAGACAGCTGTGGCTGGAGTACCAAGACATCAGCAAAGGTAGGACACACACACTCACACACAGTGAGTGCTGAAGATATAAATGAATACATTTATAGTGATTATTGGCCTTGAGCATCAAGGTTCAGGTGAACATATGTGTGTGTGTGACTGTGTGGGATGCATTAGTAACATTAATTCCTGCAGTTTTTTATACATTCATTGACAGGACGGATTCATAATCTGTTAGCCCCACAAAATACAGTACATTGAGGCTCATAATACTGAGTGTGTCGGTGTGTATGTGTGTGTAGAGGTTGACTGGATTATTCTGCTACAAATTTAGTATTGGCAGGACTCTTGATCATACTTCAGTTGCAGAGTAAATGCTTGCCAGGAGAAATACTTAAACCTCACATGGGACCTCTTTTAACAAAGCTCTTCTCTTGTTCCCTTTCTTTTTGGTGTTACCCTGTTGTAAAGAAATGTAATGGGCTCCCAGAGTGGCAGTCTTGCAGAAATGCTCTCGAGGCCCTTGTCTGAACCTTGAGTTTATTTTTCTTTATTTCTTCTTTTCTGCACTCCATGAAAGCACCCCTCGTAGATTGTTTTGTAAGATCTTTTTATCAGGTTCAGGTGGTTGTGTGGGCACCATAAACCATGCAAACACACACAAAGAACCACAACATTTCTCATTTCTATTTGACCTCCAAACTTTTTAGTATTGCCTGAAATGTGTCCCTAAATTACTGTAAGCTGCTGTTGGATGGATGTCTGATAAGATTCAAAATGTTGCGAAGATGCACTTTGGTTGTTTTGATTAGATTTTTTTTTTCACTACATAGACACACTTTAGATTTATCACTAGATGTTAGAGGTTATTTAACCACAGCACTTCTTCACAGGGATTTTATTTTCACGGCCACCACCCATGCCCAGCCCCCTCACACAACACTCTTATCACTAAAATCGACACTAAAGTGGTTTTTGAGAATCTATTGGTCTTTGAGAAAATTGAAAAACCGATCTAATATGTATGAACTAACATCAAATAAGCATAATGTAAATTTAGGCATAATGTAAATGTCTATCCTCAGTCAGCTGTCACTGATTTATTTAAACTAGGCTATGTTACTGTTTAGTTTTACAGATTAATATTTCACTTAAAATCCACAAGAATTAAAAAGTGCAGCCTGCTGCCTGTCATTTCAGATTTCAGGTTTTTCTGTGTGGTGAAATATGCCTTAAAGAAGACAAAAAATTTTTTTGCAGCACTCTTGGCCCATTCTCAAAACATCTTTGGGAGCTGCTGATTTAGTCAGAGTTCATGTGCAGCTGCTTCTGTTCAGATAATGTTTGTGTATTTTGGCTTTTGGCTGGTGAATTTTTTTTAAAAAAAAGTCCTTGCTGAAATACGTTTATATTTCTAGAAGTAAGGTGTTGTAAAGGTATTGCACCCGTACTAAAACTTTTAACTAAACTTATTCCTGTAGAGTGCTGCAGGAGTGAGTCCTGAGATGTGAAAATGAGTTAGCATTTTTGGACTCCCAGTTCCCTGCTCTTGAAGTCAACGAGTTTTTGGTTAAATGCCTGAAATGAGGTCGGTGGTTAACACAAGTTCAAAAGATTTTCATGTTTTGTTTTGTGATATTAAATACATCAGTTAATTTTATTTATTTTTATTTTTTTATTTATTTAGAGGACAGTGCACATGATGAACATTGCTGTAAATGTGCCAGTGTTAGCCAAAAGCTAAATATTTACCCCATTGTGAATCCTGAAGCTTTTACTCGTCTTAAAAAAGGCGGTTTCTAACAGGTGGCTAAATGAGACTACAGCATGTCACACTGGACACAGCTTTACAGCCTTATTGTTATGGCAATGTTTAAGTCATGTGACTATGGTTTGATATGTTTTGGCCTATTGGCTTTGTAATTCTGGCAATTGCATTTACACTTCAAAAGTCATAATTGTGATTCTGTTTTACTGATTAGTTATTATTTATCTCTTTTGTTTTGTCCCATTTTGTCCTGTTTGGTCTAAATTCCCATCTCCATCCACTCCCATGTATGCATTGTGAATCACTACTTTGATTTTTTGTGCTGCCCTTTGCACCAATTAAAAAAAAGGGAATATTTTAGAAATATTAAAACAAATTGGTGTTAATTTGTGAAGTTTATTTTGCTTAGCAGAATGTACAAGTGTCATAAACTTTTGTTCTCCACAGTTCATTTTCTGCACAATCCAGTTGGCTTTTTGTCAAAGGAATCAGGGCTATGATAACTTCCTGGTTGGCCTACAAGTAAACACCATCCACACAGTGCTCTATTGGCACTATTATTAAAAACTCCCAAAAACACCCAGCCCTATTCACTAGTGTGTTAAAAAAATGTTGAAACATGTACTTACTGAGACATCAGGCTTCATCACACCTGCTCTCTGTTGTGAATACAGCTGCACTAATAGCTCTTCATTTATGTTCATTTACCAAATGAAAGTGAAGCTGGCAATCAGACAGCAGATACTTGTTCAACGACCTGTTTCCAAGAAAAGTCACAATAAACATCTGTAGCAGCAGTTCTGTTAAATGTAATTAGAAAGATTTAAGTCAGCCATGTAAATGACAGCTACACACTTTCTTCAGTTTTGTTTAGAGAGATCAAAATATGTTGGCATGTTACATCTGTGCGTTGTCTACACTATGTTTGTCACACACATTATAAACCGTGCAATGGCTCAACCATCTGTTTGAGTCTCACAGTGAAGAAGAGTGAGCATTGTAGATCATAGTGTGTGTAGCGTTGCACTATAATCAGCATTGTTCTATCGCGAGCAATTACAGTAAACTACACACGCACTCTCCAGAAGCACTTGAAGCACTTCTACTTAAGTGAACAATCAAAGAAGCAACGTCCCTGCTTTTTGTTTTATTACTCAAAATGCCAGCATATGTCAGCCATCCGTCTTTTTGTTACCTGTGCTCGTTTTCTCAGCGAGTCGCAGCAGAGATAAGTAATAGCCCGTCTCTCCCTGCCGTTTCACCTCAATGGCTCCAAACTGTCCGCAGTCATTTCCTTTGTTTGCCTCTGCCACTTTTCTTCCACTCCCTTACTTTGTCCAAGGACACCCCTGCTGCGCTGCACTGTCCGCTTCCAGTTACCTCTGCGCTGACAGATGGCATTAGATGACTGAGTTTTCCCACCCTCATGAAAAGTGCATTACTCTTCATTTTCAGCAGCTTCTGACACACCGGTTGCAGACGTTGCTAAATGATTCAACACAATCAAAAACTGCCATGCTCCTTCTTTTCAGCTCCTTCTTTGTAAACTGTAACTTTGAGTTCCCCCCCACAATTCATGCTCAATTTTTTGCTTGGATTGGTGGAGTGAACTTGCACTTTTTAACAACTTTTCTGCAGTCTTCCATATTATATATGTCTATATACATTTACTTAAAAGTTGATACAAGTTTATATATTTATTATATATTATATATATATAGATATATATATATATATTTTATTATTAGATATGAGCCATTTTGTACACACTTACATCAGGAATGCCCCATCTGTGAGAAAGGACTAACAGAAAAACAGACCACCAGATTTGTACTATTGGGACACATTTAGCAAATTTTAACATGAATAAAATTATAATACATTTCTAGTAACACTTAATTTTACATATCCTGTAGTTTTATTTTCTGAAAAGGAACTGAAATGGAACTGTGTTTTTTTTTGGGAAGGTTTTAGAATAAAGACTGTTTTCAGTTGCTATGCATCCAGTTAATGAATTCCAGTGAATTGCTGTGTAACCTATTTTTAGTCGGTGCATAGCAGGTTGGCTGAACATGCAAAAATGTGACATTTCAAGCATATGAATTAACATGTTCAGAAAAATCCAAAGTAATTTGGCAATAAATTATTAATGAATGAATATTTACTTGCTGTGGGTGAGTTCTTAAAAGTAGGTTTCTCTGGAGCAGCTGGAAACTCAGCTACTTAACTTAATGAACTTAAATAAATTCTCAGAACTTTATATTTTCCAGTAATTAGTGCCAAATTGTTGAGTTCTTTACAGGGGGATTTCTGGGAAATTACTTCAAAAGAATGGACATATGAAATAAAGCATTGCCCAATTTGCATAGGAAATTAACACAAATCCAAAAGTCTGCACATTCAGAACAATGTCCTGTAAAATCACCACTGTTGGCACTGCTTGATTTATAAAAACGCAACACAATACTTCTCCTGTTCACAGTAAGAATAATTACTTAGAATCTTAATTAGAATTTAAAATGTATGCACAGCTACTTCTACTGCATCTTTCCTTTCACCAGTTTAGACCAGTCTATGGATGTAACAGTATTTTCTTCACCCTGCATTCCTGTTGTTATCAGCCCCCATGTTGAAGCAACAATAAAAACATCAGATTTGGAACGTGTGGGACTGAAAATCTGATTGTCTGAACTGGTGCAAAATCCATCCAGAATCTATTTTTCCTGACAAACAGAGAGCACGGTGATTACGTTGTGCTGTGACGATCTGGAATGATTCAATCTAAGTGGGTAACTGTTTCAGCCCGACCCAGGCCCATCCGTTTCTATAGGAAAGGAAATAGATTCCATTGGCAAAAACTTGAAATCAGGGTCATCTTTCTTAATCTCTTCCTGGCTTCTCTGAAACGTCCTGGCCTTTTGGAGGGAGTAATGAGCTCACAGGAGAGTTTGATGATCCATGTCCTCGCCCTTTGCTCCAAATACAAGATGTGCCCGACTCCCTCCATATTCAGTGAGGAGCCGGGCTGATCATTTTCTGCATCTTAGCTGCCTGGGGCACAGCTGCTACCTGAAGTGTTAAGGCTTATTTATGAATATGGTTAATGATTATATTTCAAATGGAAACAGATTTAAAGGAAAAAGATGTACTTCACAGCATACTTTGGACTGCATCAGCAGAGAAACTAAAGCCTCCTGTTACAGAAAAGTTTGTCGGGTTCACCTTGTTTGTGTCACTTTAGCACCCAAAGCCCTTCATCTGTATGAATTGCAGATATTTG